CTTTTTATACGTGTAACTTATTCTTTTCAACCATCAGTTTGGTGTAAAATTACTTTATTAAAACAATTTGTGTCAATTAGCTAGATGTTAAGAGTTTAGAAATCAAGCGTTTTGTTTTAGAAAAGGTTTGGCTTGTTTAGCATCAATTTTCTGACTAATTTTCATCGGATTAATTTATGTTCAGTCTAATTTAGATCTCATCATTTCTTGCTATCTCGAGTCAATATTCTAAAAAAAAAAAAAAGGCAAATTCTTAAAATTCGATATCATTTATACACTATTGTTGACATCACATTCGGTAATGGTTAAGAACCAGACTTCATCTAATATGCTGAAATGTGATCATTTCGAGTTGCTCTTATTAGAAAAAAAAAACATTTTATTTTCGCTGTCAAAACTAAAGTAATAAATTATGAAATCTTTTAAGTAGAAAGAAATTTTGCAGCTTTGTACGTACTGATGGTGGATTTGCTTTTCTCAAGTCGATCGATGAAAAATGAGCCGAATCTCTTCTATCATTGTAATGCTCGTTTGATTTGCGTGTATTTTCGTTTTTTTCATTCGAATTTTGATTTGTTTCATATAAATTTTCATTTATTTCATTTGAATTTTCATTTGATTCGAGGGCATGGTAAATTCCGCTTTCCTGGAAATTCAAATTTGACTGCACCTCAAGTGAAGAATGATTTCAAGAAAAGTATGCTATGGGTTGTATTGGGTTGGGTTGGGTTGGGTTGGGTTGAGATTGTATGGGATGGGATGGGTTGCGTGTGGATGTGAGTGGGTGTGGATGTGCGTGTGGATGTGGGTGTTGTTTTCTTTTAAGTCACACCACACATCCACACCTACACCCACACCTACACCCACACCTACACCCACACCTACACCTACACCCACACCTACACCTACACCCACATTCACACCCACACTCACACCCACACCCACCCACACCCACACCCACCCAAAAATAAAGTGGTTCTTTTTGTTCAATTTCAAGTTTTTGTTTTTGTGCTTGAACTTGAGCTGTCATATCATTATAACAAGTTGGACATAAATATACTTTTTTATCATTTTCTGCATCACCTCTGAAATACAAAACAAATTATTCTTTATGAAAATAAAATAATAAGTTTACCCTTTAATAACAACTGGATCACCTTCATTATCAACTATTTTGATAGTATCAAGTGACACCTTTTCACATCCACTTGAATTGTTTAAATATTCAAACAACACGCAAATTAATTTAAGTTGCATTTTGTATATATTTGTTTTTTTATTTAAATCTTCATCATCAGTTGTAGCTCTAGCACCAAGTTTATCAGACGACTTGATATACCGATCGAGTACTTTATTATGTACCTTCTTAAATTCATTCTTCTAAAAAAAAATTTTTTTTTATCGCGATCAAAAAATATGCTTACATTGAATACGGTGCCAAATAACGTAAACAAATTATTTAAAAATTTGTCGTCTTCCATGTTTTATACTTAAATAAAAAGAATCATATATAAATTTAGCATATGTATTCGCCCCTTTTCTCTCTCTTTCCAGACATACAGATTCGTTCTCCTTTCTCCTTCTCTCTCTCAC